AAATCCAAACTAAATTACAGTTACTGTTAACTAGGGCTTATCCATTAATAAATATAATTAAAAAAAATTAAATACCAGGTTCACGTTCATTGGGAACTGGGAGGGTCTAGTTCCTTCTTGTCTAAATTTTCAATCCAGTAAAAATAGTAGTCTTGCAGTGGCTTGAGACAGACAGTAAGTTTCCCATGAAAGAGATTTCACAGCTGGTATTTAACTTTTTAAAAAATGGACATTAACCATGCCATCAGAGTTACTTCTGATTTAGCTATCATTATACCAGCCTCTTAACAGAAATGCTTTACAAAGTTATACATTCCAAAGTACACAGCTTGAAATGATAGTTTGCAGGTATTAAAGTTATCTTGTAGTGCTGAAGATAACACGGTATCTAAGTTAAAGATAGCATTTCAGTTGAGATAACAAGTGTAATAGATGCATTCTTAAAGCTGTTCGCTGACAGTCCATGTACATTTTTTTTTTCGGATCTGGTCTGTAAGAGGAAATGGCTTTGAGAAACCTTTTCCCAGTCAATCACTTATCTGTACTGGAAGATTAAAAGGCAGTTTTACAGGGGGTGGAGGAGTACGGAAAATGCAGAAACCCCGGGTTTTTTGAGCTTTACTAAAATGTCTGATGCTTGAGAAGCATGTTGCTGAAAGATTAGCTTTATAACTCTGGCTGCCGAGAAGCCCAGATAGAAAATCTCACAACATTGAGGTACTTCCCATTTAGCAAATTCCGTATGCGTTTTTCAGGTTGTCCTTTTGACTTTATAACGCAAAGCTCCAGCTGTGATGTTTTTGTAATTATATGTATCACAAACCTGAGTGGTGGGACGGCTTAGAGGTGCTCGCCTTCCACTCGGAATAGAATAGAATGAGAGCGTTGGAAGGGACCTTGGAGGTCTTCTAGTCCACCCCCTTGCTCAGGTTGAGAGTTCAATGTAGACAGTGACAGATGTTTCTCTCTCAGGGCGCAAAGAGAAAATGTCTGCTGTGAACTCCCAGGTAGGCGTCAGGAAGGGCATCTGGCCAGTAAACGCTCAGCTCCATTCGGTCACCCCGACTCCACCCTGAATCAAGGGATTACAGGGTTGTAAGAAGGAAAGAAAAGTGCATCACAAACCTATCGGTGCCGTCTTTCACATTCTGCAGATTTTTCTAGGCTGGTGTCCTTTACCAATTAAACACCCAGCATCATGTTGAAGAAGGCTGATCTATGAACGCACAGCCTAGAAACCGCTCACGCAGATGCCACTGAGGGGCATGTTCTCCCTCATATCCAAGGGATGTGTGATTGATTGATGGCCTTTCTAAGCTGTCCATCAATGAGAGTTCATTGATGTTAAAATCAGCACTGTTTCTCTCAAGGTTTAATAACAGTAATCCTGCTTGGAGTCCATTTTTATCATTGAATCATCCAGTTTTTTAACCACTGCCAGATTAATCAACTCTTAATATTATGCGTGCTTCAAACTTGCTTTGGATCTTGCACGAATACACTGCTTCTCTGCAAGACATTTCAGCAACCTAAACTTTCTTTTCAGACTGCATCAATCTGGTGGGAGGGGGAAAAAAAAAACAGGACTGTATTGCTGAAAGCCATTGTAGCATTTTTTCAGACTGAATACCAAACTCCAAAAAAAAAAAGTATTGTGCTGAATAGCAGCTCTCAAGGCATCAGCAGGGCTAGAGATTCAATCAATATCACAGCTGTAAGCCATGTGTCAAAAGGCCAGAGCATCAAATACCTGTCCTTAGCCACCATCTTGATTTTATTTTTTTTGGACATTCCTTCCTCACAGATGCCCTGAGGGAGATGTTCAGTTCATCAAAGCTGCAAAACATTTCTTCAGAACCATTTTCAAAATTGTAGGCTAGGTAGCCCTTAATAGCAACACAGAAATTACAGCCAAAAGTGCCTCTACGCATCCAACTAGTTCTTGACCAACTCCATTGCTTAGCTCCCGTATATTTTTGTTGCAGTTCTTTCAAGGCTCTACATAAAATTTAGATTTTTTTCTTGCCAAATCTAAAAAAAGTCAGTCCTTGGTACCATCTGAGCTTGGTTGTTTTCTTGCAAAACTTTCATTACCAAACTAGGTTTGCTGAGTACTCATGATGTTACCTAGTTTGGGTAGTGAAAGGTCTGCAAGAAAACAACCAAGCTCAGACGGTACCAAGGATCTTATTTCAACCCCGAGCTACAAATATTCTCCTTTATCCGTAGACAAGCTTGTTTTTACACTGAGAATGTCAGAAACAGCCTATTGGATTTGTCCAAGTCCTGCATAATGAGGCTGAGCATGCTTCAAAGTGTTTCAGAAGTTCTCCTGAACTTTCGTAAGGTTAGTATCTTATGAGGGAACTTGCCTACTTAAGTTCAAAGTAGTTCTTCAGAATCATTTTGAAACTTAGCTATTTAGTCCTACGGTGACCAGTTAAGCCAGGGATGACAAACTCAATGCCCGTGGGCCAGAGGTGGTCTTCAGCAGGTTCTGACCAGTTCTGGAGAACCGGTAGTGGAAATTTTGAGTAGTTTGGAGAACCAGCAAATACTACCTGTGTGTGGAGATTTTACAGTATCCTTCCCCTGCCACGTCCACCAAGCCACGCCCACAGAACCGGTAGTAAAAACAAAATTTGAATCCCACCACTGCCATGGGCCAAATCCTGCCCACGGGGTGCTTAGATCTGGTCCGCAGGACCGTCCTGGAAACAGGAAAGGACCAGCCCATGGTGCCATCCCACACACACGCCCCTCCCTGAGCTCCATTTTCACTGGCAGAGAGCTAGCAAAACAAACTAAAAACCAAACAAAAGGAGAAATGTTTCCCCGTTTGCATTTGAGCATGCAAGAAGAGACAGGAAAGGAGAAAGGGAAAGAGGACAGACAAGCCAAAAGAAGGAAAGGTGGGAAGAGAGCAAGAAAGGGAAAATAAAGAAAGAGGGGAAGGAGGAAGAAAGGAGAAGGAAGGAGGGAGGTTTTATAAGGAGAGTGAGGGAAGGTCTGAGGGAAGTCCTGCCTTAGCACTTGGCCACAACAGGTGCCCCCGACACGAGTGACGTCGAGCTGGGCACGCCCACCCTGGCCACACCCACCTCATCCCCACCGAGGTCAAACACAATCCTGATGCGGCCCTCAATGAAATTGAGTTTGACATCCCTAGTAAAGCAATCCAGAGAGACCTCCCATCATGTATCTCAAAACATAGCCTATTAGCTTTGCTACTGGAGTTCAATTATACAATTGTTATCCAGGTTTTCTCTGCCCTACATATTGTCCTAGGCTTTTCATGAGGTTGTTGAAAGATGGCAATAGTTAGGTTTAACTTGATAGATAATAGAAGGAGGCTTAATTCATTCATTCTTGTGAGATCTGCTAAGCCTAGCATCACTTGGCACTGGGTTGAAATTGTGGTAAATGCATAAAATGTTATTTATTGATTCTCTTTGTCATTCTGTACACTGCTCACAGCTTCATGCCTGTGCTGAGTGATGGCCAAATTGCGGTGTGCAATTAATTCCCTCTTCAGAACTTCAAGGAGAAAAGAACAGAAAAGAAGATTTTAGACAGGGGGAATAACAGACTCATTTCAAGTTCTCCTACTCCCTTCCTACAAAGTTTATTTAGACAGACTTGTAATATTTCCTCACCCTAACCCATACCCTTGGTTGCTATTATTGATGGTAGATTATGGACACAGGTAGGTATCAAGATATTGCTAAAATATATTAATGTATACAGGTAGTCCTCGAATTATGACCACAATTGACCCCAAAATTTATGTTGCTAAGGGAGGAGACGGTAGTTAAATGAATTTTGCCCCATTTTACCAGCTTTCTTGCACACTTGTTAAGTGACACTGCAGCAGTTTAAGTTAGTAACACAGTTATTAAGTGTGAATCTGGCTTCCCCATTGACTTTGCTCGTCAGAAAATCACATCACCCAGGGACACTGCAACTGTCTTAACTATGAGTCAGTTGCCAAGTGTCTGAATTTTGACCCCGTGACCATGGGGTAACTTTGAATGGTCACTAAATGAACTATTGTAAGTCAAGGACTACTTGTATATGGAATCCTCATATATTTCAACCGGGAATGTCTGCTGAGAGTCAGTTCCTTCATTACAGAATGATAGCAATTTCTGCCATATGTCCTTGTGTCCATTTATGGGTTTTGTGTAGGAAATTAGTACAAAGACTGCAAGTATCTTCCATATGGCTACTCATGGATAAATCCTGACCCTTAGACATATTGTGATCTGGATATCAAGAGCTAATTATTCTCTTGACAGTAGCTGAAACTAATTAACTTCCTTATCTGCTAAATTATATCCACATTTGAAATTTCTTTGCTGAAAGCTTTTCCTGGGGAAAATGCTAATTGTAGTCACGTGACCCTGTTTTTTTCTCTCTCTCTGTCTCTCTCATACGCACATATACGCACACACTCACACACAGAATTTCTCCCTTCAAACATGCCACATGTTCCCTGTAAGTAAGTAATATCCCATATTAATTATCCCTGATTTGCCTACATCAGTGATTCTCAACTTTAGCAACTTTAAGCTGGGTGGATTTCAACTCCCAGAATTCCCCAGCCTGCTCTGCTTTGGCTGGGGTATTCTGGGAATTGAAGTCCAGCCATCTTTCAGTTGCCAAGGTTGAGAATCATTGGCCTATATCATTTGGGGCAGGAAATTCAGAAAGTTTCAAAGTAGGATTATAAAAGCCCTAAGGGAGAGGGAAAACCGGATGCCCCAAAACCAGAAGCAATCCATCTGATAGGAAATAGTGAAAATGGGATGGCGGATCGAAAGAGGGAAACCCGTGCCAATAACCCCAAGCATATATTTGTACAAGATGAGAATGTCCAGCTTAATGCAGATATGAGAATGAACTATTGGTAACCTTTGTTTCTCTGCTTTATAATGAGTAATGTTTTAAAGAGAGATGATGTTGAGACTGATGGTAAATTTGGAACTCTTTAATTTTAGTGCACAGCTTCAATACGGAGTCTAGCCGAGGTACTGTAGACCATTTACCATTTTACTCATGCACCTATTTGTCTAGCGTAAATTATATGAAGTTGTTGTTCTGCTTTGAGTAATGTATTAAATGTGTCGGAAATGATGACAGGAGAAAATTGTCAGGTGTCTGCATTGTTCAGTCATCATCAGGTCTCCCCGGAGCTGTTGGAAACTCATGAGCCATCAGCCTTTCTTGGTAAACAATTTGAGGTTTCAAAACTGATATAATAGCGCCAAGCCACAACATGAAGTTTTGCAAGCATATTGATTTCTCTGTGAAATATTACAGAGATTCTAGTTGATGCAACATGCACGGATAGAAGTTTTAATGAACTAATGGGGTATGGATTTGAGTTTAGGCAGACACAGCTACCTTCTCCATCTGAGGCGAGCGAGGAAGAACAAATTGTCTTTACAAAACAGGAGCCAGCCTCAAAAATCTCCTGATTTTTAATGTCATATTTTTTAAAAGAAAAGAAAAGAAAATCCCTCCACTTAATTTATTCTAATCCAAATATCATATGCAGAACTTTAAAAAATAATAATAATAATAAGAGACACGGAATAAAACACCTTGACATATACCCTAGAACAGTGATTCTTACGCTTTTTTTCCACCAAGGACCCCCTTTAGCAATGGCCCTTAGACTTATATACCGCTTTACAGTGCTTTACAGCCCTCTCTAAGTGGTTTACAGAGTCAGCCTCTTGCCCTCAACAATCTGGGTCCTCATTTTACCCGCCTTGGAAGAATGGAAGGCTGAGTCAACCTTGAGCCTGGTGAGATTTGAACTGCCAAATTGCAGGTAGCCAGCAATCAGCAGAAGTAGCCCACAGTGCTGCACTCTAGCCACTGCGCCACTGGCTTTAAATACCTTTTGTGGCCACAGGCCATAGTCATGGACCTCCAAGACTGGGGGCCTGTGATGACATCGTACCCCCCCACACACACACCGGGGTCCAAGGATCATAGGTTGAGAACCACTGCCTTACCTAGAACTTAAAATGCAAGATAAAATCGACGCAAATCTTTACAAAAAAAATTGCCCTCCTCCCTTAAATCATGCTAACCAGCAAGCCGTGTGTGAGATACATAATCGCTTGTGTAAATTGTGCATTGATTGGAGATAATAAACATAAAAGTCAACCTTCCTGCTTGAAAGACATCTTCGAAAAGGACACAATCGGCGTCCTATGAATATCTTCATAATATGAATGACATATAGGACGCATTGTCTGGAGCCTGATGCTCCTCCTTTCTGTAGCTTTGGGTTTTTTTAAAAAAAAAAATCCAACTTTTTCCCACTGGGTAGCTTTAGACAAATAATATCTTTTCTGCTGACAGAAATGTCAGGGGAAATGGAGCCCCTCTTCCCCCCTTAACCAGAAGGAGAAATGCAAACTGAAATGTCATCGCCAACCCTGAATGAGAAGTAACCTAACCAAAAAACCATGAAGTAAGGATTAGACTCAGCGGGCACCATTTGCAACACAATGCTCTGAAATGGTTGAGCCTTATTCCCAATCTACTGTATGTCAATGTTTCTCAATGTTGACAATTTTAAGATATGTGGACTTCAACTCCCAGAATTCCCCAGGCATCCTGGTGCAGCTGGGAAACTTTGGGAGGTAAAGTCCACACATCTTAAAGCGGCCAAGATTGAAAAACAGTGATCTGTACCGACAATAATCCCACTGAATGCTAAATAAATGCATGCTAAAATGATAATCTTCTGGTTCTGCCCTTTATGGAAGAGAAAGCATAACTCTTGAAGCTGATTTGCAAAACATGGTTTGCAAAACACTTCAGTTATTATTGCCTGGACTGCCTCTTGTTCAATTAAAATCTTATTGAGTTAATTTTTTTCCCCGCCCCAACTTGGTATTCTTACCAGGTATATATGGAGAAAGGCCGAAAGGAAAGAAGTGGTATTGTCAGTGCTCAAATTGATTTCCCCAAAATAGCTGGACTGTAAAATGGATTCTTCATTTTGCTCACTGATCCCAGCGGCAGTGATACCAATTTTTTTTTTGTTTAAAAAAAAGGTGAACTTGTTTTAAGTTTCTTGCTCAGTTCTATGATGATACCGTGCTTCAGTCCCTCTGCATTCATCTTGCTTCATTTAGAAGTCTGTTAAAATTCTAACAGTCATCTTCATCATCACCATTTTTGGAGGAAATTGAGGGAGCTGTGCTATGATTTCATTTCATTTTCTTTTTTTTTTTTAGTTTGGAAGCCCGCATTTCGAATACTAGGCTAAAAATCAAGGCTTAGAAATCAAAGTCTTTTTAGCATGCGTCACAAGCCAAATTTGTTGCATTAAAAGCAAAGTTTTCACTGCACCGCAGTATTGCTATGAAATCAACTTGAATTTGCATTATTTCACAGCCTTTTCTTGCAAGGCACTCTAGGAAACGTCAATTTCAAAGGGTATTTAAAAATAAAAAAATAAAAAGAAATGTGAAAAACAGTGCGTACAGCACTGTTGGTAAATCCCACCAAATTTGATGTAAAGGCTACAAACTCTCTCGCTTCCCATCAAACTCAGACATAACTTCCTTATGTTTTTAAGTCAAATTCCCAACATGCTGATTGAGGATGATTGACGATTGTAGTCCAATGCAGATTGAAGGCACTAGATAAGAACCTCGTCCATTGCTTTTTCTAGAATAGTCTAAAACGATATAGCCTTTCAAACTTATAGTTCTTATAGATACTTGGAAGGTGTTTGAGATGCCAATTTCTTCTTGTTTCTAAAATATTCCAGTGTTCAATGCAGTTTATCCTTCTGAAACTTGTACTGGTGTATTTGGCCTCCCAAATCCCATTTCCAACTCTAACCTTGAGGAAGACTGCCAGTACAGATGGCCTCGACTTATGACCACAACTGAGCCAAAATTGAAATAGTTAAGTGAGGTTTGACCCATTTTACAACCAATTCTTGCCACAATTGGTAAGTGAATCACTGCAGCCGTTAAGTTAGTAACAAGGTTCTTAACTGAATCTGGTTTCCCCATGGACTTTGCTTGTCAGAAGGTCACAAAAGGGGAATCCCATGACCCCGAGACACTGCGACCGTCATAAATATGGACCAGTTGCCCAGTGTCTGAATTTTGATTGCGTGACCATGGGGATGCTGCAGTGGTTGTAAGTGTGAAAAATGGTTCTAAGTCACTTTTTCCAAAGCCATTGAAACTTCAAATGGTCACTAAGCAAACTTTTGTAAGTCGAGAATTACCTGTATCTGCAGATTCTACCTCTCACGCTTATTTAAACTGCCCATCTCTGGGAATGACATAATAAACCAAAATAGCCAACATCAAATTAAACCAAACAGAGTCAGTAGCAGAAACAAATGCAAGTTCACTTTTGTATCATCCCACCAAACCAATCCATGGAAGAAGACTGATATGAGTTGGGCTCCCATCAATCTTCCCTCTTGCACAAATAGGATGCCCGTGGAGAATCAGTTGTGAGAGTGATGCTTAACCTACAGAGGAATAAAAGACCTCCTCACTTAACTTAACCCCTATTGATAATATGGACATATCCGTATACTTTTATTCACCTACACTACCAAACTGCTTTGCCATTGCATTCTTCCAAGAGATCTCCCCGTCTATCCTACAGTTTTGGCATCCCCTTGAGGGGAGGTCCCTTATATTAGCTAGGTACAATTCTGCTTTGCTTTTTTTGAGATCAGCTCAAGTCAGCTAAGAGCTAAAATCCGTAGAGAATCCTTGAGGCAATTATTTGACTGTAGAGAAGATCAAATTTAGTGTATGCTCCACAGATAAAAGGGAAGCTTTGTTACCACGCACAAAGCCAATAAGTTGCCTAGATGCATAAAATGTTGACATGAGGCCGTTTCTGGAGAAGCTCCTAATGTTCTCCCCACCCCCCCAAAAAAAGATGAGTAAAATGTTCTCCTAGTGATCATAAAATGATGGAGATGGTCATCCATTGGCAGAAGACACCAATGAATGGAATGATTATAGTAGTTATTAACTAGCTCTCAAAGATCCCTGAGCCCCAAGGAAGGATGGCTTTTATACAGTGTCACTTCCAAGAAATGATGTCATTGATCTGGTCTCCTCTCCAGGTCACCAGATAATGATCTTCTCATAGAGCTTTAGAAGTTCTAAACATGAAGTGCCTGGCATCAGGACTGCCCAACAGTCTCCTGACAAACTTGTCCAATGTCACCTTCAATTAAAGTAAGGAGTAATGTTAAGTCATCAACCATGAGCCTTTCTCCTAAATTCTGTCCTTCCCCATGACCTCACCTGAAATCTGGAGATAGGAAGAGACTGCAGAATCTCAAAGAAGACATTGTCTTCTTCCTAATCCGTGTCTCAATTTATTTAGGTGGAGAAAGCAGACTCCTTTGCCTAAACTTAAGCACTGTAGGCGGTACCAGAGGTTAGAAGCTTAAACCTGAACATAAGAATCAGAATAAATCATCATTGAAGACCCTGAATCATGGATATCTGGGTTCAAGTAGTGCCACCCAGAAGGGAGGGGGTGGTGGTCAATTTGCAAGGTGGTGGGTGTGATATAATACAGGGTTTGAATCACAACACCAACCTACCATTTAAGACAGGGTTTCCCAAATTTGGTAAAGTTCTTTTAAGTCATGTGAACCAATTCCCAGAATTCCCCAGCTAGCTATGCTGGCTGGGGAATTCTGGGAGTTGAAGTCCGTGTGTCCTAAAGTTGCCAAGGTTGGAAAACTATGGTTTAGAAGGTTTTAACCCCCTCTGTGAAAACCCAAGATCTGAACTGTTGTTGCTTCACAGATCTGACAGATTTTGGTGGAGGAACAAAGCCTTATTCTCACATTATGCCATGAAATAGAACAAGTCGCTCATGTGTTCAGTTAGCTTATTCAGAAACATCTAAAGTCAATTTTAGGACCCAACAGCGTTGATATACAAGACCAGGTTCCTCTAAGCATATAGTTTGATTCCCAGCCTTATTTCTATTGTAGGTATTGCTATGTCAATGACTAAAAAGACTTAATTTGGTTTAATTCAATCACTAATGGTGGTGGTTGCTTATGAAGCAAGTGGAAGTTTTACTGTGGTTTTCAATAAACAAGTTTGAATGCTTAGATATGAGGATCTTTAAGGGACTCTATTAAATGGAAATTAAAATATAAGCAGTCTTGCCTATTTCCAATCCTGTTCTTTACAGCAGCATTTCTCAATTCTGGGAACTTTTCAGACGAGTGGACTTCAACTTCCAGAATTCTACAACCAGCATGCTGGCTGGGGAATTCTGGGAGTTGAAGTCCACCCACCAACCTTAAAGGTGCCAAGGTTGAGAATCACTGCTTCTGAAGAATGAGGAAAATAGCCATATTGTGGTCATTTTCCCACTGAGTCTCAGCCTTCCCTCTCCCTCCCTCCCCTCCCCCAATTTTCCTTTCCTTCTCCCTCCCAATGATCAACTCAGCTCTGCTGAAGCAAATCAGTTAGGGAATTGGGTTATTTTTGTTTTTGTTTTTTATTTTCACTTTTTATTTTTATTTTGTTGTTTTCTTTTCTTTCCTTTTCTTTTTTTTAATTTATGTACTACAGAGAACAGTGTCGTCTTGTGGCCGTTCTCGTAGACTGTTGTTGGTTTAACAAGCGTCCAACCCTTTTTGTCTTTGTTGTTCTTTTCTTTTCTTTTTTTCTTTCTTTTTTCTTTTTTTCTTTTCTTTTTCTTTTTTTGTCTTTCCTGCTCCCTGCCCCCTGTTCCCACAGGCTGTGCGTTTGTCACGTTTTCGACAAGGGCAATGGCACAGAATGCAATCAAAGCTATGCACCAGTCCCAGACCATGGAGGTACTGTATCATATGCCCTTTCATTGTTTCCTTTGTGCATATGACTGAGAATGTAAAGCCGTGCTCTCTTGAGGAAGATCAGATGTATGACAGTCCTAGGCAAACCTTCCAAGTTCACTAAGCCCTATTTCCCCCACGCTTCTCTCCCTCCACCCTTAACTCTTTTCTTTCTGGGACATTTGGTTCTCTTAATGATCTGAGAACAAATTGCTCTGTTTTTGTCCCTCCTAACAGTGGCATTCAGATTTTTTTTTAAAAAAAAGTTTGTTGACATGACATTTTGCTGTCTGGCATTTAGGATGCTAATTTACCCCAGAATAATTTTGTGATTTAAAAAAAAAAACCCTAATGATAAAGCTGGCCTCTGCGAGGCTGCCATGCCTAAACTCGAATTGGCCAAGGACACCCCAAAAGGCATATATATATATATCTGTTTAGAAGTATCCCCTCTTTCCAAGGGGCTAGTAAACATTCACGTTAGGCCCACATGAGACGAAACATGCTAGAGACAGCAAACTTTGATTCCATTATTGACTTGACGTATACAAATTTAAATTTAGAATAGAATAACAGAGTTGGAAGGGACCTTGGAGGTCTTCTAGTCCAACCCCCTGCCTAGGCAGGAAACCCTACACCAAATTATCCCTGCATTTTCAATTTTTTTTTTAAAAAAAGGAGCTCCCTCCAACCCACTCCATGATTTTTCAGAATTTTGTACACACACACACACACACACACACACAAATGCCTCATGAGTTGACTGTGTCTTATTCTGGATCTTCTGAATTAATCATTTAAGACAGCATGTTCTATTGTATTCTGTACTGTGTATCTGTGTATTAATTAATTCTTCTTAAGCATTTGGATGTAATGTGCACTTTTTTCTTGCTTTTTTTTTTAAATTAAAAAAAACCTCTTGAGATGAGGAACGTTCAAATATATATGTAAAAAATATATATTTTGCAAATGCTCTAACCTCCCAAAGCATGCTGGGTACTAAAATTCCAACATTATTTGGTCTGTGTCATTGAATGGCTTTGTGTGATGAGCAAAGAAAGAAAACAATGAAAATATTTTTTTAAAAAAAAATGCATGGAAAATGTCTTATGTATTCTTGAGAAACACTGATATTGGCATTGCAGTGTCCGTTGTTCTCCAGCCTTCATTTGAAATTATTTTGATATTTTATAATCAATTTGTCTTTCTTTTCAGTGCTATCCTTTTTTTAGATTGTATTAGATGTGATGCTTGCCACAGAAAAGAATCCAAATCACTTGAAAAGACGCATGCTTCTGTGTGCAGAATATTATATACTGTATATATGTATGTACATATTATATTATATTATATTATAATATTATATTATATATATATATATAAAATCTCCATCCTTTTATGTGGCCTGCTTTTAATATTTTAGTGAGTATATTCTATTATGTTTTGCCTAAAGACAAAAGGATGGATATAGATAGATAGATAGATAGATAGATAGATAGATAGATAGATAGATAGATA